GCTTCCCCTGCTTGCAGACAGCATATATTGAAAATTCTCAGCCTCCAGAGTCATGTGAGCCCATATCTCTGATAAAGCTTCCCCTATATCTCTATCTACCTCTACCTCTAGCTCTGCCTCTGTGTCTTCATCTATATCCCATGGATTTTGTGTCTCGAGAGAACCTGACCAACATACAAGGTAAGGGCCCATTGGTGAGACCTCATTCATTCAGACTCAGTTAAAAGGAGTGCTCTGTTTTGAAAGTCTGTCCCATTCAAAACTCATGTTGAGGTTTACTTGTCATTAAGAAGTGATTTGACCATGAGGACGCCCCTCTCGTGGGTGGGTTTAATGCCTTTGAAAGTGTTCAGGACTGGGTCCTGTCTGTCCTTCTGCTAAGGGGTGATGCAGCAAGAAGGCCCTCACCAGATGTAGCCCCATGAATTTAGTTTCCATTCACTGTAAATTGCCAAAACCTTAGTATTTGGCTATAGCAGCACAAAATGACTAACACAGAAAATAGGTAGTAAGAACCAAGGGTGCTTCTACAACAAACACCTGAAATGTAGAGAAGGCTTTGAAGCTGAGTAATGAGTAGGGGCTCAAAGAGTGTGGAGTAGCAGGCTAGAAAAATCCTACATTGCCATGAATGGAGCATTAACAGTTATTCTGAGTAGTCCTCCAAGGAGGAGCAGAGTTTTAGAGAAAGTTGGAAGGTTCTTAGAGATTATGTAAGTGGTTGTCATTTGTTTATTGGTAGAAATACAGAAAGTGAAGGCTATTCTTAATGAGGTCTCAGAGGGAAATGGGAATAAGATATTGAAAACTAGAAAAAAGGCCATCCTTATTATAGAGTGGTTAAGATGTTTTCAAATTGTGTTCATGCCCGCGGGCTTGATGGAAGGCAGAATTTAAGAACAACTCATATGATATCTGGCGAACGAAATATGTATGCATCAAAGCTTTCTGGGCACTGCAAGGCTTCTTTTTGACTTTATAAACTAAAATTCAGGAAGAAAGAAGTGATTTCAAAATGGAATTTATAACTAGAAAAGAGGAAACAGAATTTAGAGATTTGAAGGACTCTCATCCTGGCCACATAGAAGGAAATGAAAAACATTTTCAGGAGATGAAATCAAGGATACAGCCTGAGTAGCCTGAAGGGATTTGTGTAGGGTAGGAGAAAGCCAGACTTGTATCCATGAGGGCAATGGGGTAATGATCCCAAAGGCATTTCAGAGACCCCCAAGACTGCAGCTCCCATCACAGTCCCCGAGGAAGGCCTTGAGGGCAGTGTTTCCCTAAATGAACTCAGGTGTCTGCTTCTTACGTGTGGTACTGCCTGCCTTGCAAGATCCAGCCATGGTTGAAGCCAGGCCAGGTTTGGCTCAGGCTGCCACTCCAGAGAGTGACAGCACAGAGCCTCCACAACGCCCAGGTGATGCAGACTTTGGGCATGCGGCAGCTCTGGGGCCTTTGAGATTTCAAAGGATGCCTCACGAAGATCTGGGCCCCAAACAGAGAGCTGCAGGGTCCCGCCTAGGGTGACGCCTAGTAAATCAGGGGAGTAGGGATACCTCTCAAGACCCTACAACTGCAGCAGCACCAGCATGCAGTCCCCATTGGGAAAAGCTGCAGGCACTAAACTTCAATCCATTATTGCTGCTACACAGGTTGAGCCCAGACAAGCAGTGGGGATATGGCTGTCTGAATCCCTGGAGTCCAAGGGTGGAGCATAAAGTCACAAAATATTGTTCTCTGGTTTTAAGATCTAGTGCCATTTTCCCTGTTGGATTTGGACTTCACTGGGGCCATTTGTCCTTTTTCATCCTGCCTTCTTTCCACTTTGGAATAGGAATGTCTATTCTGTGCCTGGCCCACCGCTGTATTTTGGAAGGACACAACTGGTTTGATTTCACAGGCTTCCTGTTGTCAGCGGATCTGTCTCAAGATGATTTGCCCTTTCTCTCCCTCATATCTGATTTAGATGAATTGCTGGCTTTGGACTTTTGAGTTGGTGCTAGAAACACTTCTGAGGCTATTGGGAAGGAATAAATGCATTTTTCTATGAGAAGGACATGAGTTGTTGGGAACTGGGGCATAATTCTATGGTTTGAATATGTATCCCCTCTAAAACTCTTGTCAGAATATAATTACTATTAAATAAGAGGACGTGGGTCTTTAAGAAGTGATCAGGCCATGACAGCTCCACCTTCCTGGGTGGAGCTAGTGCCTTTGTGAAAGACTTTCAGGTGTGGCTCTTCTCTGTTGCCCCTCACCTTCTGCCACAGGTGACAGAGCAAGAAGTCCTCGCCTGCAAAACTGTGAGCCAACGAAGTCTGTTCATTTTCAATTACTCAGTCTCAGGTACACAATGGCCTAAGATAGAGTGAATGTTTGCTTCTTTTGTTTTTTTGTCCTTTGTGTGTTTGGGAGTGCTGTTGGTGGGTGTCAAAGAGGAGAGTCTGCCCCTTCAGGTTGACTTGGTTGGGGGTAGTGTTTCAGGTAAGAAAGAGGGAACAAAGTAGGTGTTGCCCTGTAGTTCGTGGCTACTGAAGGCCCAGCAGGATGTCCTCTGGGTGACAGTGTGTTGTATGACAGCTCAGTAGCCAATAAACACATACCCCCAAATAGCTTCTCCCTGGGAACAGCGGCCTTGGAGAAAGATGGCTTTACTCCCTTACGGAGCACAGAAACTGCTCTGATCTGCAGGGCCAGAGAACCTACAGATGGATGAACTGCACGACAGTCAAACCTTTTCAAAGACGAGGGTAAGAAGGCCCAGGAAGCTTGACCTGGCTTGTTCTAGAAATAAAGGCATATGATTCCTAGCAATAAGTCCTGAAGCAAGCTTTAATCTATGTTAGAATATAATAAATATGGAAGCACTCATTTCCCCTGGACCATAACTCTAATACTTCTCCCTCTGCTGCTTTTCAAGTAAACACGGCCAGTCCATCTCTGGGCATAAGTTTAAGGTTATAACCGTCTGCTTCTTTACCCAAGGAAGCATGTCTTCCTTGAACTCTGAGTTCCTAGTAGTGCATGGCTGATGTTTGGGTGATTTAGTTGGTGAACACATTTTCTTAGACCAAAAATCCAGCCTTGTGTCAAAACTGTTCTTCCTCTTCACCTAGGAGAATTTCATTGCACTTCAGCAATGAAGCCTTGAATCCTAGTTCTAGTTCAAATATTGGCTTGAAGCAGGATCTTGGCTATCTTTAAAATGGTCAGTGGGTACAGGCATTTGACCTGGCAGTTAAGACACCAGTTAAAATTCTCACATTCCACATCTGAGTACCAGGCTTTGATTCCTAATTCTGGCCTCTAACTCCAGTTTGCTGCTAATGTTGACGCTGGGAGACAGTAATGATAGATTATAATTGGGTCCCTATCACCCAGGTTGGAGGCCTATATTGAATTTCCTGGCTTAAGCTTGATCCAGCTCTGGCTGATCTGTACATATGAAGAGTGAGCCAGTGATGGAATCTCTTTCTCTCTCTCTCTCCCCCTCCATCCCTTCCTCCCTCCCTTTTTCCCCCTTTCTCTCAAATAAGCAATATAATAAAATAAATCTAAAAGAAATAAAACAGGCAATAAGACCTCATTGATACCATGGTCTGTTTCTACCAGAGGTCTCTTCAGTGGCAGGAAGTTCTATGTGATTCTCATGCCAAGTGATGATCTCCACAAAACTTGGGGTCCAGGGCAAAGCCAAGTGAAAGGACCACTGGAGAGATGAGGTACCAGTCCTCATTCTTGTCTGTACTAACTGCTAACACTAAGCTAGACAGTATCCCAGAGCAGATGGGCCAGGCTTGATGGGTCTCTAAGCTCTGGAATGTTGCCAGCCAGTGTAAGGCTTACTGCTGCAATCCAGCATGAGGCCATAGGAGGAAGATGGGGCAGAACTTGGGGCAGGGCATGGTAGGGTAGAGCAGATTGAGTTGGAATGGGGCCATGCTATTGCCCATTATTCACCAGGCATTGCCGTGGGACTCCTGCCGTCTCTCACTCCCTAAACCTCAGTCAGCACCTTTGTCATTACCCCTGAGCAGCGCCATGTGAGGTTCTCCTAAGACAAGACATTGTAGTCATGCCACTGGCTAGATTTTCACTGCTGAAGTCTTACTCATGCTCTCAATTGAATGCAGGAAACTAGTCAAGACCACTTACTGGTTTTATCTTTTTTTTTTTTTTTTTTGAATTCCTATATATCTTTTTTCTTTTCTTTTTTTTTAATAGAAAGCTTTTATTTAATAAATATATGTAAGCAGCTCATAAACAAGTCATAGACAAGTCAAGGTCAGTCTTGGCTTGTGGAATTCCTGGGATGAAAAAAAGTCACCTATTCCAATGCTCTAGGAGAATGATCAAACAAGAACACTCCGCTAAAATTAACTATGTTATGACTGTGTTGCATAAAGCCTGATAAGTTGCTTGCCTGTGTTGTTAACTTCTGTGTTGCCTTGAGCTGCGGCTGGTAATGTATAAAATATCGCTGAGACGCTGGAGTAAACAAGCCTTGATCAGCCTTGTTGCTTTGGCTCCATTCTCTGCGCCCTTGTCCCTCTTTTCATTCCCACTCCCTCCTTCAGGTTCTGTTCGACTGGTGCGGCTGGCCCGCACAAATATAAAGTTCATAAGTACAAATTGTGGATTATAGAGGTTCTTCCCTCCATAACCACCCTCCCACACCCAAATCATCCCACCTCCTACTACTTCTCCCATCACACTCTTCATTAAGATTCATTTTTAATTATCTTTATATACAGAAGATTAACTTAGTATACACTAAATAAAGATTTCAACAGTTTGCTCCCACACAGAAACACAAAGTGTAAAGTACTGTTTGAGTACTAGTTATACCATTAATTCACATAGTACAGCACATTAAGGACAGAGATCCTACATGGGGAGTAATTACACAGTGACTCCTATTGTTGATGTAACAATTGACAATCTTATTTATGACATAAGTAATCACCTGAGGCTCTTGTCATGAGCTGCCAAGGCTATGGAAGCCTCTTGAGTTCGCCAACTCTGAACTTATTTAGACAAGGTCATAATCAAAGTGGAAGTTCTCTCCTCCCTTCAGAGAAAAGTACCTTCCTCTTTGATGGCCCATTTTTCCGCTGGGATCTCACTCACAGAGATCTTTCATTCAGGTCATTTTTGCCGCAGTGTCTTGGCTTTCCATGCCTGGGAGACTCATGGGCTTTTTAGCTGGATCTAAATACATTAAGGGCTGATTCTGAGGCCAGTCTGACTTGGACTACTTAAATGCTAAATGAATTTATCAACTCCACTCTAGACTTTAACCTCCCTGGGGCAGATACTCAGTGTCATTCTCCAGGAGTTCTCCCCCTGTCCCATGCAGTGCTTCTTAGCAGAGTGATTATGAAGAAAGACTGCTTCATAAGCATGTCGAGTCAAAACAAGTGGTGCCATCAACGGGCCAGTGTGACCGCTGAAAGGGGCACAGATGTCATCTTCTTGGGAAAGTCGGTCAATCCATGGGGACACATCTCAGAGGAGATTCTGTGGCCACCATCTTGATCATGCAGCAAAGAGGGCCCTGACTTTTGATATCAAGAGCATCTATTCTCCAGCAACTGGATTGGCTTGATTTCAGTACACTCCAGATTACTTACTGAAAGTCCTCTGCCCATCTTTGGGGAAATAAATGTAACCCCAAACTGAGGGGCAGCCTTGTGCAGATTTGAAGTTCTATTATATAGCAATCTTTATTTAGGCAGTGGTGGGAAGAGACAGTCTGATCAATGGAACAAAACAGAGTTAAAGATAAGGTCATCTGATATGATATGATGTGATAAAAGCATCACTCAATATAATCAGTTGGAAAATAGCCTTTTTAATGATGATGGGGCAATTGAACATGACTATAGAATATCAAGAACCTAGCCTGTGGCCTGCAGGTGGCCTGGTGAGGTGATTTACCTGATAATAGGATTGTAGGAAATTCCTATAAGATAATCCTCACAAGACAGTGGCTGCAGCCTAGAAAGAGCTTTCCCTGCAAGGCCAGGGTGTCTCGCAATCTTTAGAGAATCCTTGGCTCCTCTGGCATGAGTTTCTGCTTTCTGCTCCAGGTTTTGATTCTCACATCTGTACCAAACAAGATTGTTTCCGGTTGGTGTTTTCATTTTATCATTTTCGCCCTCCTGGTAAGTATGTAGCAGTAGCTCTTTGTGACTTCAATTTGCATTTCTCTATTTTTATGTATATAAGCAAATTGATGTCCTTTTATTAAGCGCTTCTTCATGATTTTGCCTATTTTTTTTTACAGTCTCCTAAACTAGCCCCTGTCAGTATTCTGATGTGAGTCCTTTTTCAGGAAGGTGTATTGAACTCTTGGAATGTTTTGCTACATTTAACAGACTTTCATAAACAGAAGTTCTTAATTATATTATAATTAAAATTACCTTCTCTTACTTTAAAAAAAAAAAAACTTACATAACTTTAGAGAACTCTTTATCTTCAGGTCATGAAAATATTGTCTGTCACTAGGGGCTTTGTTGGTTGACTTTTCACATTCAGATCTGAATTCCATCCAGAACTGAGAGGCGGGCCTCAGATTTTCCTGAAATGAGGAGCTATCTGGACTTTGCCAGAGTCTGGACTTGGTTCAAAGTCTCCATATGGATGAGTGAGTGTCCCAGCAACATATACTGAAAGGACTTCTGAGTACTATACTAGGTGTGTACCGGGGATGGGGTTGGGGGCACGGGTTAAACCACAGCGAGACTCTGAGGTCCAGTCAGGAGTTTATTAGCCAGCTCACAGCTGTCATTCTCACAGGGCAAGTGTGGAGAAGGCAGCACTGAGTTACAGTAGCAGGGGTGGGGGAGGGGGTGGGGGAGGGGTTTTAAAGGCAAAACCACATTCTGTCATCAGCAGTTAAATGCGGGGGCATGGTGAGCAAGCAGTTAGCCAGTCACCAATCAGCACCTATTCATGCCTGCCCTCAGTGGCTGGCACCAGGTGTCTGACACCTGATGTCCTCTGCTACCAAGTGCTTCCTTAATGTTCAGTCAACACAACCCACATACATTTACTTTACTTGTACTGTCTTGAAGTTTTAAATTTTTAGAACACTGCACCTTGTCACAGTTCATATATCTCATTTTTTTACTCTATTTTGTTCCACTGCAGATGCAAAAGAACAACAAATAATCAAGGAGTTATGCAATGGACTATACTTGCAGAAGAATTCTCCAAAGATTGTGTCTTCCACTCTGCAAGGTGTCCGGCGCGTAACAAATCTTCCCAGGCAGACGAATCAATTAATTCACAGGCTTTTATTGGGGTTCCGCTCCCGGGCGAGGTTCCCAGGTCCCAACAGAGTGGGGCCGGGGAAGTCACACGTCAGAGGTTGGGAGGGCTCCTTTTGTAGATTCAGGGCATGGGGGTTAAAGGTTGAGGCAGGTCTGATCCTCATTGGTTGACCTTTAGGCACCCGCAGGGACCTTGACAAGGACTTTTCTTCCCCACAAGTACATGTAGGGACTTCTCCATTCCCGGAAGTATAGGCCTTCCTCCTTGTGGATCCCAAAGCTACCACACACTTTCAGAAATATGCACATTGCATGGAAGTTCTTTAATATAGCCATATTGTTATTACTAAAATCACAGCAGTTTCTTTTTGAAGTTAAATTTAAAAAAAAAGCAAGCCTATTAATTAATGAGGCTTTATAATTTATTAAATCACATGGGAATATTGAAAACCAAAGATTTGTATTAATATACATAAAACACTTTTGCACTTTTCCACAAGTGATTTTAGTATGTGTTAATATGATTTTTGTAAATGTTTCTCTTACATAGCCTAATATTTTGTGCTTTGTGGTCCATGACAAAGGTTCTGCTCCTTTCTTTTTTTTAAACTCACTTATTTATTTGAAAAACAGGGCCACAGAGAGGCAGAGGCAGAGAGAGAAACACAGAGAGAGAGAGAGAGGTCTTCCATCCACTGGTCCACTCCCCAAATGGTCTGAAGCCAGGAACCATGCGGGTGCAGAGGCCCAAGGACCTGAGCCATCCTCCTCTGCCCTTCCAGGCCACAGCAGAGAGCTGGATCAGAAGTGGAGCAGCCAGGACTCTAACTGGCGCAACCATATGGGATGCCGGCACCGCAGGCAGTGGCCCGACTCAGCACACCACAGTGCCGGCTCTGGGTGCTGCTTCTAAGCCCTCCATCCCACATCAGAGGGCCTGGATCCAAGTTCAGTCCTGCTCTCCATTCCAGCTTTCTGCTAACGTGCACCCTGGGAGGCAGCAGTGCTGGCTCAAGGAGTTGGAACCTGGCCCCCTGGCGTGGAGACCTGGATTGAGTTCCTGACTCTCAGCTTCTACCTGGCCGAACCCCGGCCTTTGCTGGCATTTGGGGAGTGAACCTGCAGGTGGGAGCTGCCTTTCTTTGTCTTAAACAAACGACTAGAAAAGTGTGGTCTGTGGACCAGCAATCTCGCCATCACCCAGGAGATTGTCAGACATGGAAACATCAAACTCCACCCAGATTCATCAGGAACCATTTCAACAAGGACACCTTGCCAATTCATTTGCACCATGATGTTTGAAAACTACTGTTATAATGGGCAGTATTTGTATTGTTTATGGCATATAATCTCAGGGAAATTAAATTAGCTCAACTGGAAAAAAAATTGACCTCCTGAACAATGCTATCCTCATTAGGGATGATATTTACAGCTTTCTTCCTACATGGTAGCTTTTTGTTGGGTCACAGATGTTTTTAGTTTTACATTTTAGTGCCATTTTTGAGTTTTTTTTTCTGGGTTGCAGCTAAACTACTTGAAAAGGGTTTGTCCCTGTTGGCAGCTCATGACAAGAGCCTAGGGTGATTACTGAGGCCATAAACAAGAGTGTCAATTTGTTAAGTCAACAACAGGAGTCACTGTGCACTGACTCCTCATGTAGGATCTTTGGCCTTAGTGTGCTGGGCTTTGCTCTTGAGATGTATTGAGTTGGACCAGACAATTGCTGAGCACTCCTGACTACTATTTTGCATTATTTTTGTCCCATTGGCCAGATTGTCCACCCTCACATCACCCGTACACTGATCAATCCATTATGACTTTATAAAAGACCTTGGCAGTCTGCAAGGATATGCTCTTCAGCTTTGTCCACCTTCAAGATACATTGAATATTCTAGGCCTTTTGTATCTTCATATGAATATTAGAAATAATCTGTTAATTTTACATGCACACACTCACACACTGCTGGGAGTTTGACTGGGATTGCTGTGAATCTGTAGGGCATACAACAATGTCCCTGGCTTTGTGCCACTGTGTCTCATACCCCTTTAGGAAGGCCTATTTAAACCAGGGTGGCAATTATATTTATTTACAGGCCCATTAGTAGAGCAACCAGCTGTACATACACCAGGACTGTGAGCACATTGAAATGAATAGATATGAGATCAATGCAGCTCTGTACCACGCCATGCCAACTGTCCCATGGATGTCCAAGCTGCTGCCAGCTCGTTCTCTTGTCTTTTAATTTCCCTCATTTGCCAAACCATCAGGGGGTTCAGAGATTGTATTTTCCACTAGAACATTGAACTTGGCTGAACAGGTCTCCAAGTCCATTTTAGAACTTCCCTTGCAAACATTTAATTGCTACTTTCAGCCTATTTATAAACAATTTGTGATGAAAGCAGGAAAAAAATCAGTCTCAAACATCAACCAGCCATAAATCTATTATTTTCTGAAAGGAAAGTGGCAGAGAAATATATAACAGCCCCATAGACTCTTCCTAAAAACACCTCCTAAACTATGCTCTCTGCTGTGTGAGATTGTCAGTTGTCATTGTTTCTCTCCTTCCTTTTACTTTTTGCTATAATGGCCAGACAACTGGTCACTGGGATGGGTATCACACAGGCCACACAAACAGGAACTCTTGGAAATGAATCTACCTTATCTCCAAGGTCATCATCCACAGAAAAGTGGTAGAAAAATGTAACAGCGATATTTTCCCTAAACTAGCAGCTTCCTGCAGGATTTCCATATCATGAAGAGTAGTTTGTTCAAGTGGCTTCCCTCCCAAGATCGCAGAGTGAGTGACTTAGAGCTATCCAAATCTAGGTCATGGTCTTCTCACTAATGTTGCTTTAAGAAATCTCCAAACATTACAGATTGATGGAATTTTTTAAAGATTTATTTATTTTATTTGAAAGTCAGAATTACAGAATTAGAGGGAGAGACAAAGGGAGAGATCCTCTATCTGCTGGTTCACTCCCCAAATAGCTGCATCAGCTGGAACTGGGCCAGGCCAAAGCCAGGAGCCGGGAGCTTCATGCAGGTCTCCCTCATGGGTGCAGGGGCTCAGAAACCTGGGCCATCTTCTGCTGCCTTCCCATGTGCATTAGCAGGGAGCTAGATTGGAAGTAGAGCAACACCAAACTGGTGTCCACATGAGATGCTGACATTGCAGGAGACAGCTTAATCTGCTACCGCCACAATGCTGGCCCCAGAAATTGATAGAATTCTTATAGTAAGCATTCATATACTTAATCAGATTCTGCTATTTGCAGCTCCTGTACATGACCTGTCACACATCTGTCCATCCACTTTTGCATTTTACCATCTATCAAATCACCCTGGTGCTGCATTTCAAAGCTAATTCTATGTATCAAGGATTTGCCCATCAGGCTAAGACCAAGTAATGGGAACTAGAGCATACTTTTATGACTTAAACAACCCCAAAATGGACGAAACATATGAAATAAAGGTTTTGAAGGTGCTGCAGAAAGCAGTAGAGAAAAATGAACTCTAAGAGATATGAAATGAATTGGTGAGCTCTACAGTGCACTCAGCTCAGGAGGGTTTCCAGGATGTGATGCAAAGCAACAGAATCCAGCAGAACTGGGCTGACTCCTGGGATGAGGAGCTAAGATAGAGGGAAACCACGACAGCACTGAGTGCTAGAGGGGAGAGAGATGAGCACAGGTACCACCCTCAGGAATCCGCCAGGGGTGCCCTTTGGGGTGTGGACTGGTAGATGGAAGATAGCTCTCTTTCTCTCTGCTGCTCTGCCTTTCAATAAAGAAACCATTTTTTTTAACTTTTATTTAGTAAATATAAATTTCCAAAGTACAGTTTATGGATTACAATGGCTCCCCCCCCATAACTTCCCTCCCACTCACACCCCTCCCATCTCCCACTCCCTCTCCCATTCCTTTCACATCAAGATTCATTTTCAATTATCTTTATATACAGAAGATCGATTTAGTATATATTAAGTAAAGATTTTATCAGTTTGCACCCACACAGAACATAAAGTGTAAAATACTGTTTCAGTACTAGTTATAGCATTACTTCACATTGGACAACACATTAAGGACAGATCCCACATGAGAAGTAAGTACACAGTGACTCCTGTTGTTGACTTAACAATTTGACACTCTTGTTTATGGCGTCAGAAATCTCCCTAGGCTCTAGTCATGAGTTGCCAAGGCTATGGAGGCCTTTTGAGTTTGCCAACTTCGATCTTATTCCAACAGGATCATAGTCAAAGTGGAAGTTCTCTCTTCCCTTCAGAGAAAGGTACCTCCTTCTTTGATGGCCCGTTCTTTCCACTGGGATCTCACTCGCAGAGATCTTTAATTTAGGTCCTCCTTTTTTTTTATTTTCCCAGAGTGTCTTGGCTTTCCATGCCTAAAATATTCTCATGGGCTCTTCAGCCAGATCTGAATGCCTTAAGGGCTGATTCTGAGGCCAGAGTGTTATTTAGGACATCTGCTATTCTATGAGTCCGCTGTGTATCCTGCTTCCCATGTTGGATCATTCTCTCCCTTTTTGATTCTATCAGTTAGTATTAGCAGCCACTAGTTTTGTTTGTGTGATCCCTTTAACACTCTTAGACCTATCAGTGTGATCAATTGTGAACTGAAATTGATCACTTGGACTAGTGAGATGGCATTGGTACATGCCACCTTGATGGGATTGTATTGGAATCCCCTGGCATGAAGAAACCATTAAAAAAAAAAAGAATGCTAGTATGCTTTGTACAGAAATGCAAGTTTGTTTTAACATTGGGAAATCAATCAATATGATTCATGATTTGATCAAATAAAAAAGAAATATATAATTATATCCATTAATGCACAGAAGCATCTTGAAAAAGCTAACACCTTTATCTAACAAAAACTGCCAGGAAAGTATGAATAGAAAGTAATGGGAGAGGGAGCGGGAGATGAGAGGGTTGCGGGTGGGAGGGAAGTTATGGGGGGGAAAAAGAAAGCCATTGTAATCCATAAGCTGTACTTGGGAAATTTATATTTATTAAATAAAAGTGAAAAAAAATAAGGTAACTTCCAAAACTGATGAAGTTCCAAACCTGACAAAGTGTATCTATAACAAAACCCCCATCTTACAGAGGCCAGTGTTATGGTACAGTGGGTTAAACTCTGTGTGCAACACCAGCATTCCATATGAGCTACCATTCAAGTCTGGGCTGCTACGCTTCTGGTCCAGCTCCTTGCTAATGTGCCTGGGAAAGCAGCAGAAAATGGCCTGATTGCTTGGGCTCCTGCACCCATGTAGACCAGGATGGAATTCCAGGCTGTTGCAGCCATCTGGAAAGTGAACCTGTATATGAGAGATGTCTCCCTCTCTCTCTCTCTTACTCTGCCTTTCAAATAAAATAAATAAATCTTAAAATAGAAAAACCATGGGCCAGCGCCGTGGCTCACTTGGTTAATCCTCTGCCTGCGGCGCCGGCATCTCATATGGGCGCCGGGTTCCAGTTCCAGTTGCTCCTCCTCCAGTCCAGCTCTCTGCTGTGGCCCAGGGGGGCAGTGGAGGATGGCCGAAGTGCTTGGGCCCTGCACCCGCATGGGAGACCAGGAAGAAGCACCTGACTCCTGGCTTCGGATCGGTGCAGTGCCAGTCATAGTGGCCATTAGGGGAGTGAACCAACCAACGGAAGGAAGACCTTTCTCTCAGTCACTCTCTCACTGTCTAGAACTCTGCCTGTCAAAATAAAAAAGGAAAAAAATAAGAAAAACCACAACTGACAGTGCTCACATATGAATATTTAAGGGCAAAACAATGAAAAATTCCTTCTGAGATCAGTAACAAGGCAGGGATCTCTGCTCTTTCCACTCCTTTTCTGTATTGTGTTGAGACAAAAAATGTAAGAAAAAGAAATGATAGGTAAAACTGTAATTTTGGACATCAGAATAGTCAATATAGGAGCTCCAAAATATTTACTCTACCAAAAAAGTTACCATAATATATAAATTTTAGTGAGGTTATGGAATAGCATTTTAGGGATTTATGTCTCCCAGAAACTCATGCAAGGAAACTCAGAACTTCCTTGTGTGTGTGAGGAGCTGAGGCCTCCAGGAGAAAATCCAGTTATGAATGTGGAACCTTCATAAGCTGGATTACCAGCCTAAGCACACACACACACACACACACACACACACACACAAGCAGTTTTCATCACAGGAAGATACAAGGGGAAGGCAGCTCACGCTGGTTCACTGATCTTGGACTTCCAGCCTCCAGAACAGCAAGAAATGAACTTCTGTTGTTTATACACCACTTAGCCTATGGTGCTTTTCCCCAGAGACATTCCTCCTGACCTTTCAGCCTTCATGCTTCAAGTGTTATATATATTTTTTCGGTCTCTTTTCTGAACTATAGCCCCACCTTTCCTGGTTTCTATATTTTCCTCTTGTTTACTTCTCTTTTGAAAAAGTTTTATTTATTTGAAAGGCAATGTGATGGAGGGGAGTGCAGGGTTGGCCCAGGCCAAAGCTAGGAGTCAGGAGCTCCATGCAGGTCTGCAGGAGTCCAAGTACTTAGGCCATCATCTGTTGCTTCCCAGGCCCGAGAGCAGGAGGCTGGATCAGAAGTGGTGGAACTGGTATTCAAAGTGGCTCTCCAATGAGGAAGGCAGGCATTCCAAATGGAGGTTTAATCCACTACACCACGATACCTGTCCCCTATGGTACTTTATAAAAGTATAATAAGGGTATATAATTATAATTATATAAAGTCTTCAAAAACATAAAACATGGATTAATTTTTCAATAGAGCCTTAAGATCGGTACATTGAAAACTAAAGAACATTGTTGAGATAAATTAAACAAAATCAAATGGATGAGATATTTGCCATACTTATATCTCTTGAATTGTTAATGTGTTAATTCTCTTCAAATTGATCTACAGATTCAATAAAATTTAAATGGAAAATTTATGCTGCCTTTCATATTGAAATTATCAACCTAATTCTAAGTTATATGAAATTGAAAAGAATTTGGAACAACATTGAAATAGAACAAAATTTAGGGATTAACACTATTTGTTTTTGAGACATAATATAGCCACAATAATCAAGATAGTTTTATATTACAGTCAGTACAAATATATATCAATGGACTAGAACAAAGAGACAAAATAGACAATCCACTGGACATGTGCTTTCTGACAAAAATGTAATGGAATAGCACTGGAGTACAGTTTTTTAAATAATGGTGCTAGGTAATTGGATACTCATATAAAAATAAAACAAAACAATAATGATCACAACAAAGCAGCTCAATTCATATTTCTTAACATATAGATGAATTAACTAAAAATAAATCTCAGAGGACGTGCACAGTGTGTTAAGCCACTACTTGGGACACTGGCAACCTGTACTGGATTCAGTGGGATTGAATTTCATCTCTGCTTCTGATCCAGTTTCCTGCTAATGTGCCTGGGAGGAAGCAAATATTGGCCCCAAGTACTTGGGTTCCTGCCACCCACCTGGGAGATCTATTGAAGTTTCTGGTTCCTGGTCTTGACCTGTCCTGGTCCTGACTATTGCAGGCATTTGAGGAATAAACTAGAAGATGGAAGATTCTCTTTCTCTTCTGCCGGAGACCAGCTCCACCCAGTGCAGGGGCCCCAAGGTGTGAGAGGTGTCGGTGCTGGAAGAAATGAGAGACACTCACAGCAAGGCTGATGGCATGGCTCTGGCTTTTGAGCACCAGACTTTATTTTTATATTATAAGCCACATAATGATTTTTTCTTCTTACAATGAAAAGCCTGTTGTCCATTTTTTCTAATTACAATTTTTTTGATTTTCAAGGGCATACTCAGAGCATGGGTTACAATCATAGACAGGTGCAAGATAACAGGCTGCCCACCCAAGCCAAGGCCTCGAGTGCTGCTGAACTATGCAGAAATTGGCTACATAGGCTAGAATAGTACCTTCCTAATCTAATCTTTACTAGAAGCCCCAAGTTCAAAGCAGACCCTTTTTAAAATGTATTCCCTCTTTGCAATTTTTTCTGTAATTCTTTAATTTCTTCATTGCACTTATTTTAAGGTTTACTTAGCTCTATTCTACAGTCTTGACATCCTAACCATTGTAGTATTTGTAGCATATAGTGAATTAAAGCTTTATTAACATCTATCTTTATTCTAGTGGGAAGTATATACCAGAGAGCCTGTTGCCTTTTAATTCTTTTCTACAAACAGCTCAACCTCGCATAAGGCATTAACCCTTTCTTATACACTAACATTCTGCTTGATTAAAATTCTACAAGGCAATGGACATTTTGGAGGTTATGAGACTAAGTGCTCTTCCGTAAAATTAGGAATACAGCAATCATTAGCAGGACCACCAGGAAGCTCCAGCTTGTAGTTCCCATCAAACCTAAAACCACCAAGAGGACCACAGCTGTCCTTCTCATGCCTTGCTGAGACAGACCTTCTGCTGTGACCTTGTCAGCCAGCTGAAGCTGCCTTGGCCTCGTCACTCTTCCTTCCCTCCTTTCTCTCTGTCTCTCTCTCTCTTTTACCCCATTTTGAAATAGATAACTCAATAAGTCTGTTTAATTGTTTTAAAATCTCAGTTGTAAATAAAGAACAAAAAATAAAATCTTATAAAAGTTAATAGAAGAGAAAACTTTGGGACCCTTAGTTATAACTGTCAACAATTTCTGAGCTATGATACCCACAGCAAATTTCCAAAAGACCAAATCAATTAATATTTGTGTGGTGTTCACATACTCACAGAAAGATTCCTTGAAGGACACTTAAGGCAATCAAAAGACCAAAAAAGTTGGAATGAAAAGTTTTGTTAGTTATGTATCTTATGAAAAAATGGATAAGGATTATATAAAGAGATCATGGAAATCTACAATAAGATAACAAAAGTTAACTTTAAAATACACAAATATGTGCTATGATTTTTCACAACAGAAGGTATAAGATGATAAACAAGCACTTCTACAGATTTTCTTGTTTATCATTAAATAAATAAATAAAATTATTAAATAAATAATCTCTTGGCTCCTGACTTCACCCTGGCCCAGTGCTGGCTATTGTGGCCATTTGAGGAATAACCATAATGGACAATCTCTCTCTCTGTAACTCTGTTTTTCAAAGCAATTAATCAATCTTTTTTTATTAAGAAAAAAGAATACACCTACTACATGATTCAGCCTAGGTAAATACCCAAGAAAAATGGAAGCATACACACACATGAGGTGCTGAGTCATCACACAGACACCAGGAGTCGGGGCTTATATAACCGAGGCAGCCAATCCAGTCAAGGGGCAGTTTATGCCCTAACCAATCACAGCCTGTTGCCAGACAGGCTCCGTTGCCGAGTGGTTTCCCAGGTGGTTTTCAAAGCCATTCCTGGCGCTTGCTTGCCAGCGGCCATCTTGGCATGGCCTGCTCAATCCACCACATTTCCCCCTTTTCGTTTATTTTTGAGCAACAGGAGGCATGATTCTTGGCCATACCATTGTTGACCCCATTTCCATGTGGTCTCCGTACATGGCTGTGCCTGTCTTAGGTTGTCGCCCAGGGGATCTTACCCGTCGTTGACTAACCAGCGCTCAAAACGAGAAACCACAGGAGTGCTTGCTCAGATCGGGGTAGGAATGAGGAACAATGGTAATCAGGAATGGTGTGACCACACGCAGGCTGTGGGCCGTTAGCGTGGCTGACCAGAGCTAAGTGGGGTATAAAGCACTAGTAGATGTGGCTATGGGCAGTTCCTCAAGGCAGGATGATAGGGCAGC